TTTTGTTTTAGTATCATTTTAATCGTTTTAATGAAAACTTTTTAATGATATATTTTATTATAAAAAATATTTATTTTATTATAATTTAAAAAATTACATAAATTAATCAAAATATATAAAAAATAATTATGAATAAATTGATCATTTTATTTGTTTTCTCTTGTCAAACGTTGAAAGTTGTTCTGTTATGCTATGTTTACTGTTGACATGAACACACAAACAATCTACGATGTAATAAAGTTTAAACCCGACCAACTCAACTTAACTCAATCTGCATACTTTGAATTACTCTTTGAACAGACTGTGATTAATTAAGCTGTAACTATTAAGTTGGGTTGTTTAAATTTGATTTGATATTAGATTTAGATTTCAGAAATGGAAACCATATAAATCCAGAAATCAAACGACCCTACCAAACATTACGTGTTTCTGACTTCAACTCAGGATGTTCGTTTTCTTACACCACTTCCTTTTTCCATTTAGACTCTAAATTTATTTTTAGTTACTGTTTGTTTTGTTTTGTCTTCTTAAATTAGATAAATTTTCATATAAGAAATTGCGTTTGAACAAATGAAAAAGTGCAATAATTTGTAGTCGTGCGTTTTTGTAGGAAAATACGGATATGGTTGGTAAGAATAGAGAAGACTTAAGGGCTGTTTACCTAAATGCTTACGCGGTAAATGCTTACCGTTAGAAGCCAACATTATAATTTATATTTTCAGTAAGATTGTAGTATATCAAAATGGTATTGTATGCAACAATATATTTGATAAGCGTTTACACAGGTAAGAGTCGTCAACCTCATTTACTGGGTAATACTCTCTATCTTTATTATCGCTCTTATCATGTAAGATTATTAGGTCTTGTCATGTTCGTCCGATGAGGAAAATTGCTCGGTAAGCACATACCGGGTAAGCTTTTAGTAAACAACCCCTTAATTCATCTTAAATTCTTTATTATATAGAGGCAGAAAAACCATGCATATTAACAAAGTAAGCCCACATAGGCCTCGTCAAGGATAACTGACTTAAAATGTTAAGCCAAGTAAGAAGAGGCCTAGTATTTCAAGAATAATCATTCTCCAAACAAATTACGATAAAGCCCAAGACAATATCCTCTCGGTTTCCACAATTGCTTTAGCATAGTTAGAAACATTCAAGCCTTTTAAATCATTAGAACCAACACTACAATTCATTCTTGTTCCGAAAAACTCCACCTCTCAGCAACAATCCGTTCAATTATATGGTACAAAAACATATCTTTAAAACAATGGATGATGCCATTAGTGACATCATCATCAATTCTTATCAGCTTGACATACAACATCAAAGTCATAAGGATAACACGACAACATAGTCTATGCTCAAACCATCAAAAATATCTTTATTAGTCTGGTATTGGTAACAGATGTCTATTACAACATCCAAAGAACATTTATTCAACTGAGTAGACATGCAAAACCGGAAAAACTGTGAATTCTATGGCAGACGTTTTCTCCGTTCAAGATCTTGCCCCTCTCTTACCGGGTAAGACTCTTGATTCTTGCCTTCGCTCTTACCGGGTAAGATTTTTAGTCTTTGTCATATTCATCTGGTAAAGTAAAGTGACTTGGTAAACGCTTACCCAGGTAAGCGTTTGGTAAACGGCACCTTAGCTCAATTGTATTCGATACATGCTTAAAGCAAAGTTATATGTGGTTGTGATCCAGTCCAAAAAGCTATCGGGAAATTGACCAAAATAGCCAATTCTTCGATCTCAATTCACTTTATAGTTACTTTTTAAATATAAATCCTGAAATAAGCAAATTTGCCTAAATGTAATTATTTACATTTTGCACCCTTAAAGTTATAATTAGTTATCTAATTTATTTTTTATCTCTTATTTTTTTATTTTTCATTTTACATATTTATTATATTAACATACATAATCGTATATTAATTAAAATACGTCAAAAAAAATACATTTCTTTTTTCACAAATTATAACATGATAATCGTATTATTAAAATGAACGAAATATTGAATATCTTTTTTATTTTAATCATATTATTAAATATCATAAATGCATATGAATTATTTTTAACACTTATATAGTTTATCCTTATAGTTATTTAAGAAGAGATCTGGGTCCTTGGTCGCTTTCACCCTCACCCTCAATTAGAGATGGCCAAAATCCGGTCCCAGGCCGGGCCTTAACCGGTCCTAACCAAGACAAAAACCGACGGTAACCGGTCTCGCTATAAACGGTCCCGGTCCTGGTTCCGGTGATTTTCCTTGTAACCGGTCAAGCTTACCGGTAACCGGTTGTCCCATACCGGTCCCATAACCGATTCCGGCCGATCCCATTCAAAAAAAATATATTTTTATTTTTTTTTTCAAATTTTTGGTTATTAATAAATTTTTAATATGTTATTAATATGTTTGTAATATGATATTTTTAATATGTTTTATAATAAATACATTTTATTATAAATACGTTTTGTTATATATATATATATATATATATATACATACACGTTTATAAATACGTTTTGTTATATATTTATATATATATATATATACGTTTATAAATACGTTTTTATTATAAATACATTTAAAAATACATAATAAAAATACGTTTTATTATATATATATATATATATATACGTTTCGTTAACTTTCGTTGACCGGGCCGGGCCGGTCCTATAACCGGTTACATAACCGGTTTCGGTCCCAGAAAACGTCAAAAACCCTAACCGGACCATAACCGGCGGTCCCTTAACCAGTCCCTACCGGTCCCAATCGGTTCCGGTCCTCCGGTGGTTATGGGCTGGGCCGGGCCCATTTGGCCATCTCTACCCTCAATCCATGAATTACGCTCATTAATGTTGATCTTCAATTAGTATTAATTCAAGGATGGAGGTTTTTTCTTATCCTTCTCATAATAACTTCCATTTTCACCAAGAGGTCTTTTACCAAACACTAACTCAATAAGTGCTTACCGGTAAAATTTAACACTATTATTTACGTACGGACTAAGATTTTAGTCCACCAAAACGACATCGTATGAAACAATTTACCCGGCAAGCGCTTACATGGTAATAGTCGTCACTCTCACTTACCAGGTAAGACTCATGACCCTTGTCTCGCTCTTACCGGGTAAGATTCTTGGTCCTTCCCATATTCATCCTATAAGAAAATATGACTTGGTAAACGCTTATCCGGGTAAGTATTTGGTAAACAAACCCTAAAACCCGATCCATGTTTTATAATATAAAATAAATGTGATATCCTCTTTTTTGAAATTAAATTATAAGCTAGAATTTAAAAAAATTATCCACTATTAACAATTATTTAAAAACTTATATAAAATATTTTATAATATAAAATGAAGAGTAAACTACAAGTTTGGTTCTCGTGGTTTGTCAAAAATAACGTTTTTCGTCTTTACAATTTTGATATTACAAGATAGTCATCATAGTTTGCAAAATCGTTCCGATTTGATCCCTCCCTCTAACGACTGTTAAAAAAATCCCTTAAATAAAGGGTATTTTCGTTATTTTATCAAAAAAATTTGTCTTTTACCCAATCACAATCAATTTTATAATTTTGGTCCATATAGTTTTTTATCAGGTAGAAAAATCGATAAAAGGATGAAAATACCCCTCATTTAACGGTATCTTTTAATGGTTGTTAAAAAGATTGATTAAATTTAAACGTTTTTAGAATATCTTATAGTTTCAAAACCACATGGAACCAAATTTGTAGTTTACTATAAAGGGAAATGATATACTTCTTGTTTTTTTTCCTTTTTGAGAGGGAGTCGATGTTGGAAAATTGGGTGGACCAATAATCATTTTGCGGGAGATGGTCAAATGGGCTCGTCCAGGCTCACGACTGGCGAAGGATCGGGATCTGGACCGGCTTAGGATCGGTCCGATCCAAGACCAATTGAGACTGTTTTGGTACCGATTTGGGTCCGGCCCAAGACCAGAACCAATTACAAATACTTTTAACCGGGCCTTAACATTTTCAACAAGACCAAAACCGATTATAAGCATCACTGCAAAACCGGGTTTTGGCCATCGCTGCATTTTATGGTGATATTTATAAATAAGTTTGTTCGTGAGCTAGTAATTGGGGTTGGGGCGTTGGATAGGGGGCCCATATAATATTCACGTGTAGGATCCAATAATCATTTATGATGTGGGGATCCATTCTTTAAATTTATAGAAGAATTGATAGATATATCTATACTATATTATAAATTATTGATAAAAAAATTTAAAAACTATTTTTTATGTATAAAATAATGTTTATTGATGCATAATACTTAAAATTTAAGATTACAAATAAATTTTGCTTAAGCATAACTTATAAAGCTTTATGTTTGATTTCATGCAAATAATTGTAAATAAACATAATCAAATACAAGATAAACATCTCATTTTAAATATAAAAAATCTAACATATAATTATGATCAATAAATTCTAACAGAATACTTAATTATTATCTTTATAAAAAGTTTACCATTAAACCTAAATTAAATTACTTCGTTACATTAAATTAACTTATAATAAAAAAAATTGAATTAAAGACACTACACAAAACAAAGAGTTTTAAATAGTTAATTTGATACTAATATCGATATTTTAAAAAAAAAAATTATTTAAAAATAAAAGCATTATCGCTTTTTCAAAATCATATAAAACTGTATTATATCAACATAAATAAAACGAAACATTAAAATTGAGATGTACCTCGATGCATTGAAAACAAAAAGATGAAGAAATATTAAAAAGATATTATATTTTATTTTGAAGAAAAATCAAAAAAGAAAAAAAAGGTGAATATGAAACAAAATCAAAATTCAAAAACTTTATCTATTGAATCTTCAATTTCGAAACGCGTCCGCGCCTCTCTCCTTCTCTCTCTCTCTTGAATCTCGAATCTTGTCGACACGATTTTGATGATCTTCAGATAAACCCAAAAGCAATTTATAATCGTAGAACAGGAGTAATTCAATTCTCCATTTAGATACTGAATTTTTGAAGCTAATTTCACCTTATCGTTTCTATTCATGGCGGCTTACAGAGCCGATGACGACTATGATTATCTGTTCAAGCTAGTTCTGATCGGCGACTCTGGTGTCGGCAAATCGAATTTGCTGTCCAGGTTTGCTAAGAACGAGTTTAATCTCGAATCGAAGTCAACTATCGGCGTCGAATTCGCCACCAGAAGTATTCGTGTTGATGATAAAATTGTCAAGGCTCAGATTTGGGATACTGCTGGCCAAGAAAGGTTTGTTTCTCTTCCAGCCTTTTGTATCTCTCTATACTATGTATGTATGTATGTATTCCTCTAGTACGCTGTGTTTTTGTTTTACCTTATGAAATCGTGGATCAATGTGTAATATTAGGTTGTCAATCATATGAGATTTCTAAATCGGATGTTTTTTCGATCTTATGTTAAGGTATCTGGACTTATTTCGAGTAACGGAAGCTTTAGGCTCTGATTCTTGGCGTTTTAAACCTCTGGTGAATTAGGATCTCGATCTATTGCCTATTTCTAGGGTTCATATCTTAATTGGGGAGTGTGAGGAGTTAATTCATCTAAATATGTCTGTTTCTTAAATCCAATATTGAAATGATCTTAGTTTTGGATTCTGAAAGTAAGCTGTTACTGCGGAATTGATAAAATATCTTCGGTTTCGGAATATAGGGATTGATTTACGTATGACCATCGTTTTGTCTTCCATTTTACCTGAAATGAAGTTCAACGATTTTAGCTTCCAGAAGTTGTATGTATACCAACACATTATGGGAAAAACAAGTGAATCATGTTGACAAGTTTGCAAAACAGAAGTTCAAATTGATGTCTTACTTGAAGCTAAAAAAATGTTTTAAGGAACCTCCCCTTCTAATAGCACATAGCATCTATCATGGTTGTAGAACACATGCTATATGTATGTATGTATGCATATAATGGATGTTCTTACCACTTCCCTCTGTACAAGAAGTTTTCTTTATCTGCAATGAATTGTAGAATCTATGTACCCTAACTATACGTTTGTCATAGTTGTAAATAAACTAAACTGGTTATTGTTGATATTCTTTGGGAGTGGGAGGTTCAAATAAGAGGCTAAATGTCGGCAGAAGATAAAGTTGAGGGAAGGTTCATATGTGATTCATTGAGAAAATCTATTTGAAGATACATATGTGAACCGACGTTACAAATTATTTATATGGGCTCACATATGCATCTTCAAATGGGTTTTTTCAATGATTCAAATATGAACCTTTCCTTCTTACCTTCTAATGATATTTAGCCTTTTTATTTGAACCAACCCATTTTTTGGGAACTATACATGCTTGTGATTCCTTCTGCAATTAGAGAGCTGTTTGTGTGATATGGAAAGCTCAAAACAATGTAAATTGACAAATAAATAACCTGTTGATGCATAAACTAGTAGTAATGTGCGTTACATGATATTGAAGCATTCAGATAAAATCATCTTTAGATGTATACCTAGTTGACACTTTCCACATGCCGGGGTCTTCATGGAAACAGCCGCTCAACTCTTTTGGGGTAGAGGTTAGGTTTGCACACATCATGCCCGCAGACCCCATCTCAACTAATCCCATGGGCCTGATGATAGCAGCCATGAAAATCACGAGTGGCCCTAGGAAGAATCGAATTGGTGACCTAATGGGATCCTCCGGAAAGCCTAACCTTTATGTGCTGGTTGATGTGTGTTGCACACAAAGTGCATGAATGATTGTTGATCCTTCCTCTTTATATACATTTATTAATTTCCGAACTTCCATCTTAAATATATGGGTGTGTCTTCTCTTTTATGGCTTAAGGTACCGTGCAATCACAAGTGCATACTACAGAGGGGCCGTTGGTGCTTTGCTTGTCTACGATACATCACGCCATGTGACCTTTGAGAATGTTGAAAGATGGTTAAAAGAGCTCCGAGACCACACCGACTCAAACATTGTGATCATGCTGGTAGGAAACAAGGCAGATTTGCGTCACTTGCGTGCCGTCCCCACAGAGGAGGCAAAGACGTTTGCCGAGAAGGAAAACACGTATTTTATGGAGACATCGGCTCTGGAGGCCTTGAATGTCGAAACGGCTTTCACGGAAGTCCTGACACAAATACATCATGTGGTCAGCCGAAAAGCACTCGATGCAGGGGACGATCCTTCGGCTCTGCCTAAAGGGCAATCCATTAATGTGGGATCCAAAGATGATGTTTCTGCTGTGAAGAAAGTTGGTTGCTGTTCTGCTTAACAAGAGTGAGTTTACTAATCCATTCTACTTAAACGTATATTTTGGGGTTGTTTTTTGAATCTATATCTATATATCTATATCAAGGAGAATCATCAAAAGATGATGTGGCATCTTGAGAGAGTTAGAATAATTAGTTGCTATTTTTTCTAATTTTTGAATTATTTACAATAAAAACATATCATTAAATGAATGAACCTTTCATTTACTTTTTTATCTATAAGTTACATATAATAATCTAATAAACCTTTATATCTTMATATCTATAAATATATAATCTATATATCTATAATCTATAATTGTCAATCCACATTGTGTCATATCATGTCTTTTGGTTCTTACTTAAAAATTATATATTTATAGATTTAAAGGTTTATTAGATTATTTTATATGTAACTTACAGATAAAATGTAACTGAAAGGTTCATTCATTTGATGATTTGTTTTTATTTTAAATAATTCAAAAATTGGAAAAAATAGCAACTAATGATTCTAACTCTCTCATGATGCCACATCTGGTTAACTTTCATATTTTACCTCTGGTTCGTATATCTCATCTTATTTTCTAGAAAGTTTAGTTTAGACGTACTAGAGGCTCCTTGAAACCCCTCTTTTCCTACATGCAAGTTGCTATTTAATTTTTTTCCAATTTTTGAATTATTTTAAATAAATTATTGTTATCGTGCAACGTTCGATGTCAAACACTAGCTATATATAACTCAGTTGGTAGAAGGGCGGAGCGACTTTGCTCAAATACACAACATGCTCAAGTTTGAATCCTACAGGAAATGGGCTTGAACCCCTCCGATAGCTTCTGCTGCTAAGGCTTTGTTTGTTAGCAGTTTAATGAGAGTCAGTTTATTAGATCAGTTAGGCAAGATTGTTTGGCAGTGTCTTAATAATATAAAAAGTGGCTTATTCAGTAAGCTTTTAGGAGGAGCTTAATGTAGAAAGCCAAGTTTTTTTTTCCAAACATGCACCTCTTAGTTAAAAACAAGTTCCTTCGATTTATGAAAAAACCCTCCCAAACAATCTTTCCAATCTATACAGACAAACTAATCCACTCAGATAGCTTTTTTATCCATACAAGACTTGATGGAAAACCAACCAAACAGCCCATGAGTCAGCTCTGAAATGCCTACCTCACATGTGGTTTAGGGGGGGGGGGGGGGTCTGTGTAGGACCGGTCGGGGTTGTTGGTAATCAAACTTTGTTTAAATAAATAACACGTGTTTTCATGTTTTTAGGAATGGGGAAGTAAATTTGGAATGGTGGTTCTTGAAATGAGTTTGAGCCTGCAAATTCATTGAGAAGGATATAAAGTATAAACTGCAGTCTTGATTCTTGAAGGCAAAGATGAGGAGGAGGATACAAATGAGAATGATCCAGTTGGGTTTAAGACTTTTTAAGTAAAATATGTGATTTCTATGATTTTTTGTAATATTTAAGAGACCCTTTGTTTGACATTGAATTGCTTCATTGTTGCCTTTTCTTTTAGAGTAAATTACGCTTTCTCCCCTTTGTGCTGTTAAAAATTGTGATTGTCGTCCCCATAATTTAGAAATTGCGGTTTTTATCCGTATGGCTTGTAATTTACTGCTATTTTTCATCTTTGAGATTTACAATCTATTTTTTGGTTTCTCCTACTTCAAAGGTAGGAATTTGTTTTGAGGCGGAAATAATAATAAATTGTAAATCATAGGGACGAAAATTGCAATTTTTAAATCATGGGGTTGAAAATAGAAATTATTAACAAATCATAGGGATGAAAATTGTAATTTATTTTCTTTTTAATTTTTAAGCAGTTACTTTAACATATTCTAAAATATTATAAACAAATTAAGAAATCTCGTAAAATACCAATTGCTTACATGGGATTTCAAATCTATGTTTGTAGGTTTCATTAGAATCCCGAGATTTCAATTCCGAACTTTCCTTTAAAATACTAGATTTTTTCTCATAAAGTATGAGTATAATTTATTTGTTTGCATAATTCAACATTTAGGGGCCGTTTACTAAGCGCTTGCAGACAAAAGACATTACCCTTACTTGCCTTACCATGTAACACTCCCGGTCATCAAAATGAATTGCTGGTAAGCGTCTTAAACTGGGTAAACGCTTATTTGGTAAGAGACATCATCCTAATCAAGTAAGATTTTCAATCATCGTCTTCCCTCTTCTCCGAATTAGATTTTTGGTACTTGTTACGTTCACTAGGTTTGGTAAGGTAAGCCGTAAGCACTTACCAAGAAAACTATTTAGTAAACGGCCCCTAAAACCAGGGCTGCTCATGAGTTGGGTTGATCGGGTTGAAGATATTTGAACAACTCAACTCAATGCTTACGGTTTAAAAAATCTCAACCCAAACCATACGGGTTGATACTTTGGTACATCAAAATATTTTTCTAACCTTGAATATGTTGTTTTCTTTAGTCTACTCATAATTTCTTTTTCATTATCAACAATTTGATACAACTTATCCATACTTCTTAAATTTTAAATATATCACATTCAATTAGTTTTTTTAGATCTAATATAAACCACAAATTTCACTTTTGTAGTTGTTTTGATTTTTTGTACTTTGTCTTTATCTATTAGTTTTACTTCTCTTTGTTATTAGTGTCTTGTTTTCATTCCACTGTTTTTCTTTTGATTCTTTTAATTATTTGGAAACAAATATAATGTTTAATTAGGTATTTATTGGTTCAAACGAAAAGAAATCCTAACCATCTACCTAATTTAATCAAGGGCTATGATTAGTGATGGCAAAACTGTAATATAATGGGCTAATTCAAATAATAAAAATATATGTATAAATGTTTTCAATACAAAATCTTATAAATTCAACTTAATGGTATTAATATTTTATAATGCTAGTAAATAATAAAAGAAATATGATATTATGTAAGATTGGGGACTTTCTATTTAGAATTTTCTAAATAGTGAGGTTCTTGATAATCAGTGGATCATGTGTTATTTTATGTTTTTATTTTTCATCTATGACTATAATTTTAATTTAGTTTTTAATATATATTTATTTCACAATGTGTTTGTTTCACGTATATTTGATTCACAACGTAAATTTTTTTAGCATGTTTTGAAACAAAAAATGCATGTAAAAAAATTTCACATCGTAGACCGAATACATATGAAACAAGGACCTTATGCAGATGGCCAAGAATTTTCCGAACTTATTCTTCCAAATTAAAAAAATACACTTCTTTCATTTATGAAAAACCCTCACAAACAAAAACATCCTCAATCCATACACATATTAATCCACACAGATAGTCTTATCCATACAAGACTTAATGGAAAACCAACCAAATGGACCCTAAAGGGCTGTTTGACAGTTGCTGAATAGTTTGGTACAAAATGATTAAGTGGTCAAAATTGTTAAGAGACTTTGATGATATAATGCAAAATGAAATATAATTGTTTGGTAATTGTTTACAATAAAATTAAGGCTCTTAATGGTTAAATGAGGCACAAGATACAAAATCATTCAGAGAGTTTTAAAACCATTAAAAGACACTTTTTTTTACCAAACAAAATTCACCTTTTAATGATTCAAAGATTGCCTCTTAATAAAACTATTAAGAGGTAAACAAACAATCCCTAAACCCTAAACCCTAACACATAACCAAATCAACAAAAATGCAAGCAAATGGCATCAGCTAAACTGGCCATATATACAAAATCACCAGCATCCAAAATGAATCCTCAACTTAAATATTGTACCAAAATACATACAAAACAAACCAACACCAGTTTAAATACACCAATCACTCAGGATGATTGAACCGACCGGCCGAAAAACGTCTATACAAAAAGGGTTCAAACGGAGGGTCTGAAAGCCAGCAACGAGATCGTCTTTAGACGGTTATTAACAGTTGAATCTCGAAAACTACATGAAATATCAATATTTACCATAGTTTTATAAGACAGAGAGAAGTCTATTTAGTTTGTAATAAGAGCAATTGCAGTCGACTTGCAAATGGGGCAGGTGTTCTTCACCGTCAACCACTTTTTGATGCATTCCGAATGGTAATCATGGCGACAATCGAGCACCCCGATCTTTTCTTGATCTTCGAACTCCGTCTGTAAAACCCAAATCGCAATTCGGTTAGGGGACAAGTAGTTTTAACGGAAATCGTTAGTTTTGAATCAGGGAGTTGCAACATACCATTTATTCAGCAATGAACATGGTACATTTGGTACGTGGACGACGGGGCATATGAGAATGAGGTAGACCAGTGAGATAATTGTGGAAGGTTTTATGGTTTTAAACTGACATGGGTAGTTTAGTAATTTAACAATCTTGTCCCATCTCCCAAATTTTTGTTCCATCTATTTTGGTGGGACAAAAATGCTAAACTTGCATGGGTAGTTTAGTAATTTACCAATCATTTCTCATCACCCAAAATTTTGTTCCACCTAACCGACATGGGTAGTTTAGTAATTTATCAATCTTATCTCATCTCCCAAATTTTTGCTCCACCTATTTTGTTGGGACAAAAAGGGTAAACTAACAAGGGTAGTT